TCTTTGGTCTGCTTATCCAAGAAGGGCTATTGACTTATTGGAAAGGGTTCAGAGGAGAACTACTATGATGATTCTGAGGAGGGAAGTATTATCTCATACGGATGGGTTAAGATCTCAACTTCTCTTAAGAAAAGAAGGGTAAGAGGTGATCACATTGAAGTTTACTATAATTATCTCAGGAACTGAGAGGATACAAGCAAGTCCAATTTCACGGTGCTATATAGTGAAGACACTAGGAGAAGAAACAAGTTTAAGATTTGGAAAATATAGGCTAGGCTCCAGTTAAGACAGTTTTATTTTACTAACAGGGTGATTGGCTTATGGAATGAGTTATCAGCAGTAGTGGAGTCCAGCACTGTACATGAGCTTAAGAGATGAATTGATGATTTCCTGAAAAATAAAGGGCTAGTTTAAATTTTCACTTAAGGGCAAATGTGTAAAAATTACTTTGAAGGACCAAATAGCTTCTTGCTGTCTTTATGTTATTGATACTGAGCATCTACAGTTCTACACTAACTCAATGTGTGAAAATTAAAGCATTAGAATGGTAGGAATAATTACAGGCCTTTTTCTGTTGAAAAAAAGAAACTGCATTCAGGCAAGTTGCATTCAATGAGCAAACCAAAACTTGGGTCTTTTAAGTTACAAATTTATGAAAACTTTTTTTTAAAAAAAGAAATCTAAAAATTAGTTTTATAAGAACAATTTATTTTCAGATCACCTCTTGTAGGCCTCGGTGCATGTGAAGGACAAAGCACAATCATATGCAAATTGTATAAAATATTCAAAACCTTAAAAAATTTGGAAATATTAGAATCATTCCTGATTGTTAACTGACACACTTAGGACAGCATTTTCTGAAACTCTTAATTAGTTAAAATAACCACTGACTGAATCAATTGTTTGTCCTTAATTTTAACAAATCATAAGCTTTACTAGAGAAAAGAAATGAAAAATAAAGATAAGTGATTAATCTAATTTTGAAATTTGCCACTTTTAGTATATTCTAAAAGCATATTCTATAGTATATTCTAAGCATTAATAAGATGTGAAGAAATACTACCATGCTGCTCATTACTATTAGTGTGAAGTTTTAAGGTATAATAAATATATATAATTCATTATGTTCTGATAGTCAACATGGTTTTACTAAGGGAAAATCTTCTTGCCTTACAAATCTTTTGACATTCTTTGAAAAGGTTACTGCCTATGTAGATGAGGGTGAGGGTGTAGATTTGGTGTGTCTGGATTTTCAAAAAGCATTTGACATGGTGTCACATAAAAGGCTTGTAAAAAATATATCTCTATAGGTGTGGGAGATAAGTTAGCTAATTCGATAGAAGAGTGGCTGGCTGGAAGAAAGCAGAG